ACCCTTTTCGAATCGCAACAGGTACTTCAGTTCAAACCATTTGAAGAGTCATTCGGAGCGGGGACGAAGCTCATTATAAAACACGAAGTGATGCTTGTTTCGAGTAAAAGGCGAAAGGCAATCTGGCAATAATGGAATAATGATTAAATGATTTGATCCAGAAGAAAGTGTTGATTTCTCATATGGAGATCCTTTGCGGCGCAGTTAGGGCAAAATGTGCTTTTTGTGATGAAATTGCGTCGCAGTTTTGCGAATAGATAAAAAATTCACAAGAGTTGCTGCTTCCGCTGAGTTTTTGTCGTCGAAGAGTAGTGTGTTGACGTTCGTTGGAAAAAACAACTGACAAATCCTTTATCTTACTGAGTTGGAAAAGAAAATGCGCAGAAGATTTTTTTATTGCACTTTTTCTAATGTGATAACAACAAATATGGATCTTTTTTGCTCAAAACTGCGTAAATTTACGTATTTATAAAGAGCAACAGTCTATGCCATTTTATTAACTCGTCTTAGACTAATAATCTGTGAGCAACATTTTTTCAAGCATATAAGGTAAGAAGATGGATGCATTTCAAAACTGTTATTCAGCTATCAGCAGCCTGATATATCATTTTTGGAAGAATTAGGTCAAAGAGAAACCAGAGTACACCCACAGTCTTTGCTTGGTGAAATGAAGACTAAAATGTAAAAAAATGCCATCTCATTGGAAAAGCCCTACCGATAGTTAACGAAAAAAGCTAAAAACTCATTCTCGATATTCTGATCTAAGACTTTAATCATAGTTCACGTACTCACAGATAGAGGTGTCACACTTGCTCTTCTGGGAAGTGCTATATTTTTATACTTATGTTATTATTTTTTTTGTGAGCACAGATGAAACATGCTAGTTGGTCGTATGGATATCGATGCGCTCTACAGCTTTTGTTTCAGGGAAGTGCTTGACACTTTGCTCCAGAAAAAAGTTATGAGGTCCAACAGGTGCAAGCATCACTTCTCTAAAAAGTAAGTGGTGCTCTCACCTTCTGAATTTCATAATTTTTAATTTTAAAGCAAAATTTCGATCACTTCCGTGGAACAAAAGTTGTAGAGCACATCGAGATCTACACGATTCACTAGTCTGTTTGTTCTATGGTCGCAAAATACAATAAAATTAGTCTAAAAGTATACCACTTCCCAGAAAAGTGTGACACTTCTAGTCACGAATATTAGATGATCCAGAAAATTGCTGCTTCCGATCTAATGTCTTTCTTGAGATATTGATCTCACAAGTTCCAATGAATAGGCATTAGGCCAGCGTATGACCAAAAAAAGATCTCGATATTTTGACTTGAAATTTTAGCCTCAGACCATGACAATTGGAATAAGATTCCTCGAAAAATTTTAGGTCGCCATCTCATGTCTCTGCTGAGATATTCATGTGAGAGATTTCAATGGACAGGTATCTTTCCTCTAACGACAGAAGGTATTCAAGTGTGATGCGTCGTTTTGAATCGGATATATAGTAGCGCTCAAAATTATGAGAACAAGGTATTTTGGTCTTTTTCTACTAGACTACAAATATATTCTAAATTCAAATAGTGATTTGCATAGGCAATAAGATGCTCTATCAGAGGCCTCATACACCATATTTTCATGGATGGATTAAGAGAGAAAAAGTCCTAAAATACAAAAACCGGCATTTTTCAACTCTCAGAAGCATTTATTAGGGTTATTTTTCAACAGCACCAGCGTATAGAGTGAAAAAATATGCGCAAAATGAAGGGTCGCCGTATTTTTCACGGCCTTTCCTTTCAAAGTTACAAGCATCACAAAAAATGAAAAAAATGTGAAATTCTACAAAAAAGATTGCTGAAAAACGACGAAAAATTGCATTCGTTTCATCTTTTATGATGCTTGCAACTTTGCAAGGAAAGATTGTGGAAAATGCGGCGACCCTTCATTTTGTTCATACTTTTTCGCTCTATACGATAGTACTGTTCAAAATGAGGGTGGGTGGGTGTGAGTGTGGATAAGAAGAATCTCACCCACACTGTACCTTATTCTTATAATTTTGAGCACTACTTTATTTGAGTTTGTAGAGCTCAATGAGATTAGAAAAAAGCCTAAAAGGGTTCGTTCTTATACCTTGTACTTCTTGAATCTTGGGTGTTTTACTGCATTTTCGATCTATGGCAAGGTAAAAAGAAGAAATCAAATTACGAGATTTCGACCTGGAAATTTGTCCACAGATAGCTCTTATAGCCATTAGAATGTTCGAAAAATTTTGGCTCAAAAGAATGCTTCCTTTTTTTGGTACTGAACATCTGAAATTTGGTCATATGTCACGAGCAAAGGCAGCAAATCGAATGTCTTTATCATCCAATATCTCAAGAAGAAAACATTCGTTTGAGCTAAAATTTTTCGGACATTCTAATGGCTATAAGAGCTATCTGCAGACAAATTTCCAGGTCCAAATCTCGTAATTCGATTTCTTCTTTTAAGGCTTGCCATTGGTCGAAAATGCAATAAAATACCCAAGATTCAAGAAGTATAACGTATGGAAATGAACCATTTTAGGTCATTTCTAGTCTCATCGAGCTCTACACACTCGTATATATCCTATTCAAAACGATGCGTCACACTTGAATACCTTCCTTCTTTACTACACAAATGAAAACAGTAATCATGAAGCAAGTGGGGGAATATTCTCAACTTTTCATCTACTTTTGCATGGAGATTATGTACAATCTCTTTTGAGTCGACACTACGTGCATTCTATAGACCTTCATGAGCTATGACTGTTCTGAAAAGAGTTTGTTCTAATGGATAGGATATCGTGGCAAAATTTCGAAACAAAATATCGAAATGTGAAATATTGAAAGATCAAAAATCTAGAAAGATTAAAATCTCAAAAATGCAAAATTTCGAAATTTTAACCTTGCGTTAATCAACTATTGTATTCATTGTTCGTTTTCAAAGTGCGATACAGAATGAGACAGCAACGATAGAAATAATTTGAGCTTCTTTACAACAAGCAATGAAAATCCGTCATCATACACGTCGAAGTCGGTGTTCTTGCCTAGGAAACGCTTGGCTGAACACGACTTTATTTACCTCGAAATTGAATAAAACATAAAAATATATATGTTGATTTATTGAGTTTTATTTCGATGTCACTTATATCATCACTATTGATAGCGTAGAAATTTTTTCTTCATTAAAATTCAAATCAACACGGTTTTACATCTTTACATACAGATATGATCAGATTGAAGAGGATTTCTCTTGTGTTGTATTTTGTTCTTATATTTTGACATCTGCTTTGTATAATGAAAGGGATAAATTTTGTCATATGAAGGAAGATTTTGGAATAACTCGTGCGTAGCTAAGGCATAAAATTAAAACAGATAAAACGTATATGAGAGCAAATATTCACATACAGATATGATTAGATTAAACAAAATTTCTCTTGTGCTGAATTTTGTGATTATATTTTGACATCTTCATTTTATAATCAAAACGATAAAGATAGGAATCTTTTGCTCTTTTCTCTGCTTTTCTCTCGTCCTCTCCACCATTTTCTATATATAACCGTTAGTTGTATTTACTAATATCCTTCATTTCAATAGGACAAACTATACTTCTATACTTGTTCGATAACAAACTAGGTTTGATTTTTCTCTAATAAAAAGACATAGCAATTTTCTTAATTACTAAGATCATCCTCATTATCATTATTTTATATTTAGTGTAAAAGCATGAGAACCTATTGTGAATAGCGAACTGTTTCTGGATTTATCATTAGTTAGATCTTTGAAAACAAAAACCATTTGTACTTCAGTATGAAACGAGTTCTCCATTTGTCTAGAACTAGTATATACTCATTTTAATCCCTAGCTAAAAATGAAGTCTGTGAAATATTATTATTATTACAGCAACAGAAAAAAAGAATGTTTGAGAGATTAATGAATTTATGTCTATATCGTTCGTATGTGCAAAATTAATCATGAATCCAATCAGATAGATCCTATTAACCAAATATTTTTGACACTGACATTTGTTATAGCGTGAATATTATATATTATGTTTGTTTTCAGGATATAATCGACATCAATAAAATAAAACACATTTGAACCAATCAAGATGTTCAAAATGATCATCATCGTTATTCTTGTTGTTTCATTGGTTTATATGAATGCTGGTTTAGTTCCAAAAGAACGAACTTCTGCTAATGAGAAGTGTGGAGGAGGATGTGTAACTTCAACGCAATGTGCAGCTTGGGCTGGCAATACGGATTGTCGCTGTAAGTGGTTTACATGTCAGTCAGAGGAAGGATGCGGTCGTAAAATTAACTGAAATATATCGGACAAAATCAAGTTTTCATGTATTTCAGCATCTTTCTTTTTAGCGTGTGTTTAATATTGAATAAATAACGGAAGAAAAACGTTCATCGCTGATTTCTCATGCTGCGGCATTGTAGAAAAAAAATCTATGAGCCAAAACTTGTTTTATTTTCTTCAAAATTTAGAAGAGTTGTTTCGTACTGTGGAAACTTGCTGAGCTGAAACTACATCAATTAGAAAAGATCTAGTTTCACTTTAAATACTACTTTGAAATACACAACTACACTATAATGATCTATTTTCTCGGAAACAATCTCTTTCATTTTAACTCTTGGGATGTGCGTGTAAGTGTGGGTGCGGGTGTGGGCGTGAATGTGGGTGTGAACGTGAGTGTGGGTATGGGTATGGGTGTGAGTTCTGGTGTGGATGTGGGTGGCGGGTGTGGGTGTAGGGAATTGCGGGGCCACGTTTTTTGATCCCGGTCCCGGTCCCGGCTAATATTGTTTTTTAGTCCTGGTCCCGGTCCCGGGTGATATTTTTTTAGCCCCGGTTCCGGTCTCGTTCTTTCATAGCGAACATAAAAAAATTTTGTAAGAAACCTATTACGGTATCGCACATAAGTGTGCGCCATGTAATGTGTATATTTCTGATTCTACTTTTATAAATCGTCTAAATAGTCTATTATCTGGCTATATGTGAATATTGTGAACATGTTAATGTTAATAGATATTTGAAAACATCGGTTTTTGTTTTCTTTTATGAAATAATAAAAGAATTTATTGATCATCAATCGAGTTGAAAAGACAATTGAGTTCTTTTTTTTATTCAAAATAATTTTTCGGGACCAGCTAAAAAATGGTTTCAGCCCCGGTCCCGACACTGGTCCCGTAAAAAATAATTCTTGGTCCCACGGGACCGGGATCGGGACCATTTTGCAGTTCCCTATGTAGGTGGGGTGTATGGGGTGTATGGGTTGTGGGTAGGTGTGGTATGGGAGTGTGAAATGTGGGTGTGAATGTAGGCATGGGTGGGTTTGGGTGTCGAATGTATGTGTAACGACGAAGAGAAGAGCTTCAGTCACACCCACACCCACACCCACACCCCACACACACAAACACCCACACCCACACCCACCCACATGCACATGCACACGCACACGCACACGCACACCCATTCACAGCCACATCCACCAACAGCCACACCCACCCATAGCAAGTCTGAAGCCTGTTTTCTTCAATAGCTGAAGTCTGTACAGGAGTCTTTGGTTGTTAAGTGTCTATAATGGAGAGGGAGGAGCCGCAAAAACTTCGACTGAAAACTTACACTCACTATTTTCTTCGAAAATATATATGAGTTCCACAAACACTAACAAGTCTGCAAGAGAATATTTAAACTGTCAGTACCATTATTGACGACAGCAAAATCTAGTTTTCTATCATTGTTGAAATCCCCAACAGCAATCGAGAATGGATTGGATCTATAGTCCAACTGAATTATCATGATGCTTCGAAAGGTGCCGTTGCCATATCCAAGAAGTACACCTAGATAATTGGCATCATGATTCGCGATGACAACGTCTTGTATAGTGTCGTTGTTAATGTCACTAACAGCTAAAGAGTATTGAGACGAATTTGAGCCTGTTGAATACATCGTTTGATTTCCAAAAGAGCCATTCCCATGTCCAAGAATAATACCAATCCTGTCCGACTCACAACTAGCAAAGACGATATCCACAAAAGTGTCATTATTGAAATCACCGACAGCCATAGAGCATGGGAATGAATACAGGTCAGTTAAATATGTCACTTGATTTGCAAAAACGATATTCCCATGTCCAAGAAAAATACCAATATTGTGGGTATGTGAATTGGTGACGCCAATATCCATTAGATCATCATTGTTAAAATCGCTAATCACTAACGACTGTGGTAAAGAACCATATCCAGTTACTAGTATCATTTGCTTTACAAAAATTATATGTGCACATCCGAGAAGGACACTTACATCATTACTATGATAATTGACAACAATGATATCTAGTCGAGTATCATTATTGAAATCACCAAAAGTTATAGCTAGTGGACCAGAGCCAGCTGAATACTTCGTTTGTTTTTCAAAAGAACCATTCCCATATCCAAGAAGAATACTTATATTATTGCCAGCCACATTCGCGACAACAATATCTAATCGAGTGTCTCCATTGAAATCACCTACAGCTACAGCTTGTGGACGAGTGCCAGCTGAATACTTGGTTTCATTCCCAAAAGAGCCGTTCCCATTTCCATGAAGAACACTCACATCATTGCTATGATAATTGGCAATAACGATATCGAGTCGAGTGTCGTTGTTGAAATCACCGATAGCTACAGAACGTGGATAAATACCAACTGAATACATTGATTGATTCTTGAAAGAACCATCACCATATCCAAGCAGGATACTCACATTATTGCCAGCCGCATTGGTGACAATGATATCTAATCGATTATCGTTGTTGACATCGCCAATAGCTATAGCTTCTGGATAAGAGCCAACTGAAAAATTTGTTTTAGGCGCAAAGGAACCATTTCCATATCCAAGAAGAACACTTACTTCATTGCTGTAAGAATTGGCGACAACAATATCTAGTCGAGTGTCATCGTTGAAATCACCAATAGCTATAGCTTGTGGATCAGAGCCAGCTGAATACCTTGTTTGATTTGCAAAAGAACCATTCCCAGTTCCAAGAAGGACACTCACATCATCGTCAAACCAATTGGCAACAACGATATCTAGTCGAGTGTCGTTGTTGAAATCACCAACAGCTATAGCTTCTGGATAGGAGCCAACTGAATATCTTGTTTCAGTTTCAAAAGAACCATTTCCAAAACCCAGGAGGACACTGACATCATCGCTACCTTCGTTGACAATAATGATATCTAGTCGAGTGTCTTTGTTGAAATCACCAATAGCTATAGAACGTGGATTAATGCCAATGGAATACTCAGTTTTAGCTGCAAAAGACCCATGATCGTACGCAGCAAAGATATCCACATTGTCACTTCCATCGTAAGCGATAGCGATCTCCGATTGTTTGTCATTATTAAAATCACCAGAAGCCATAACTAGCGGATGGATATCGAAAGCAATTTCATAACTTGTTTGACTCACAAATGTTCCTTTGTCATCTCCAAGCATCATATCTACATGTTTAGTACCATAATTGGCCACAGCAATATCCTTTTTCTTGTCACCATTGAAGTCACCAATAGCGAGAGAAATCGGATGAGAATTTGAGCCAGTGTCGATCATAATTTGATTTTCAAAACTGCCATTCTCATATCCAAAAAGGATGCCTATATTATTGGTGCCATAATTAGCCACAATAATATCTAGATGAGTGTCGCTGTTCATATCACCAATGGCTACACATCGAAGGCTAGAACCGCCGCCAGGTGCGAAAGCCATTTTATATTCAATTGCTCCTCTGTTTGATTGCAGCAGGACACTCACATCGTTGCTATCAAAATTAGCAACAACGATATCTAATCTAGTGTCGTTGTTGAAATCACCAATAGCTATAGCTTCTGGATGAGAACCAACTGAATACCTTGTGTCAATTTCAAAAGATCCATTGCCATGTCCAAGGAGAACACTTACATCATTACTTCCTTCGTTGACAACAATGATATCTAATCGAGTGTCGTTATTGAAATCATCAACAGCCACAGCTTGTGGATGGGAGCCAACAGAATACCTTGTTTCATTCACAAAAGAGCCATTCTCATTTCTAAGAAGGACACTAATATCATTGTCAAACCAATTAGCAAGAACGATATCTAATTGAGTGTCGTTGTTGAAATCACCAATGGCTAGAGCTGTTACACGATTGCCACCCGAATATTTTGTTTGATTCTCAAAAGAACCATTTCCATATCCAAGAAGGACACTCACATCATTGCTATAATAGTTGGCAACAATGATATCTAGCCAAGTGTCCTTGTTGAAATCGCCTACAGCTACAGAAGACGGTTTATAGCCAGTTGAATACCTTGTTTGATTTGCAAAAGAGCCATTCCCATTTCCAAGAAGGATACTTACATCATCGCTGTCGTAATTGGTGACAACGATATCTAGATGAGTGTCGTCATTGAAATCACCTATAGCTACAGAAGACGGATTATAGCCAGTTGAATACCTTGTTTGATATGCAAAAGAGCCATTCGCATTTCCAAGAAGGACACTCACATCATTGCTTTCGTAATTGACGATAACTAAATCTAGACGAGCGTCGTTGTTGAAATCACCAACAGCTACAGAGTATGAATTAGAGCCAACCGAGTACCTTGTTTCAGTTGCAAAAGAACCATAGCCATATCCAAAAAGGACATTTACACCATTGCTATTGTGATTGACGACAACGATATCTAATCGAGTATCGTTGTTGAAATCGCCAATAACTACAGATTGTGCACCGGAGCCAGCTGAATACCTTGTTTGATTTAAAAACCCATCATAATGACCAAGGAGCAGATCTATCGCACCAGTGTCATTGTTGACGGCAATGATGTCTAATCGATGATCGTTGTTGAAATCATCTATGGCAATTGAAATCGAAGAAGAAGATCCAGTTGAGTAGAATACTGGTTTTCCAAAAGAGCCGTTTCCATATCCGAAAAGTATTCCTATGTTGTTAGTGCCTTTATTGTTGATGACTATGTCCAATCGATTATCTTGGTTGAAGTCTTTGACAGTAATCGCATATGGAGAAGCAGAATCGATGAAATAGGTTGTTGGATCAGCAAAAATTTCATTGCCGTTGTTAAGAAGTACACATACTTTATGAGTACCAGAATTAGCGATAGCTATATCGAGAAAGTTGTCGACATTGAAGTGCCCAACAGCGATTGAGAATGGTTGAGAACTAAAGCCAGTTGAAAGAGTGATTTGCTTTGCAAAAGTAGTGTTGCTATTTCCGAAAAGTATGCGAATATCGTTTGTGCCATAATTGGCAATGGCGAGATCTAGATAGTCGTCGTTATTGAAATCTCCTGCAGCTAATGAGGATGGAAGAGAATCATAACCTGTCGAATACGTAGTTGGAGATGAAAAACTTCCATTTCTATATTGATACAGTATACTGATACTGTGAGTTCCATAATTGGCGGTGGCAATATCAAGTAGTGTGTCATTGTTGAAATAAGCACCGATAATTGCTATCGGACGAGACAAGCCTGTTGAAAATTCTATTTGACTTTCGAAAGATCCATTGCCAAATCCATGAAAGATACCGACATTGTTAGTGCCAAAATTTGCTACTGCAATATCCAAATGATAATCATTGTTGAAATCACCAACTGTGACCATGTAAGGACTTGAGTAGGAACCGGTTGAATACTTGATTGAACTTTTAAAAAAGCCATTGCCATATCCAAGGTAAACAGCTATTTTGTTAACTATATGATGGGCAATAACCATATCCAGACATGTGTCATTGTTGAAATCACCGACGGCGACAGATCGTGGACCATACTTATATTCAATTGGTTTTTGAGCCGTTGGTTTGAACTTGAGCTCACACTTTTGAACTAAACGACACATGAAAAGCAATGTGATGACTGATTGGTTGCTCAAGTGGGACTATCCCTGTTTGCTCGTATTGGATTCTCACAGGTCCTATAGTATGCTGTCAGAAATTGTCATATTATTGTATTCGGACGAAACTCAAAATCAATCATCTTTCATTAGATTTCTACTTAGTTTCTTGAAATTCAGACAGAGCTAGATATATGCGCCTATATCATGCAGTTAATTGTCTATTTCCTTTACTTGATTTAATCTAGAATTCGTTCAAAAAGTGCGCCATTTTTGAGAATGAAGAAGAACGTCAACGAATACAATATGAGTAGGGGTGTCGTATTAGCATTAAGTTAAAAATAATACTAATGCTTTTGCATTAGCATTAACATTTAACACTAATGCTTTAGCATTAATGGCATTAGAGTTAATTAATGCTTGAGTGTTAGCATTAATTTAGCATTATTTTTAATGCTAATACATATACACAGTGTCAATTCTAGACTGCTACCTCTCATAGTACCTTCAACTTTTTAAGGGCTATCAGGGGGTACTCTTTGTAACTTTCCAAGGGTTACCAGGGAGTACTCTTTGTAACTTTTCAAGGGTTAGCAGAGGGTACCCTTGATAACTTTTCAAGGGCTACCATGGGGTACTGTTGGTAACGTTTCAAGGGCTACCTAGGGTACCCTTAATAACTCTTCAAGGGTTACCTGGAGGTACTCCTTGTAACTTTTCAAGGACTGCCTAGGGGTACCCTTGATAACTTTTCAAGGGCTACAATGGGATACCCTTTGTAACTTTTCAAGGGCTACCGTGGCGTACCTCAGGTAACTTTTCAAGGGCTACTATGGGGTAGTCTTCAGTGGCGTACGAAGGGGGTGTGGGTGTGGGTGTACATCTACTCTTGAAAGGCATCTAAATCCACACCCCACTCACACCTACCCACACCCACACCCAACGGTACCGTCAGAAAGCCCTTGAAAAGTTACTAAGGGTACTCCCAGAAAGCCCTTGAAAAGTTACCAAGGCTACCGCCAGATAGTCCTTCGAAAGTTACCAAGGGTACTTCTAGGAAGCCCATGAAAAGTTTCAAAGAGTACCACTAGGAAGCGCTTGAAAGTTACGGAGCCTACCCCCAAGTAGTCCTTAAAAAGTCAAAGGAGTATGTCAAGGTAGCAGTCTAGAATTGTTACTGTGTATATGCATTAGCATTAAAAATAATGCTAAATTAATGCTAACACCTAAGCATTAATTAACCCTAATGCCATTAATGCTAAAGCATTAGTGTTAACTGATAATGCTAATGCAACACCCCTAAATATGAGTGAAGAGTGTAAGGGTGCGCGCCACACTGCATGACTACATGTAATCACTTCTACATTTTGCAATTTCTTTTTCTAGGATTTACTTTGCTAAAAGTTTGATACAAACAATGAAAGTTTCCTATTGTTGCACGATTAAATGGTAATCAAAATTATTGTGTTAAGTACTGCTTTCAGAGATTTCATAAATATTTTGAACTGATAATTACATTAATAAACAGAATATAAAAGTTTCTGTTACGAATATTTGAGAATTATGATGGACAAAACTATGAGAATAGAGAAAGAGATAAAAATCTACTAGTCGAGTAATCCTACAGGAACAGCACAATATATAAGCAAAGAAGAAGAGAAAATGACACAAGGAATGACAAACCGCATAGTGAATGTAGGTGTCAGTGGTTTCATAATAAGAACAACGAATGATGATCGATAATTTTTGTGCGACATCTGCACAATTATTGTGTTCAACTCTTTTTTCTTACAGTGACAAATCTATGACTTTAATTGGTTTATTCCGTCAGAAACGATCATACATGTTATTTTAAGTTATTTAGTTACAGACCCGCCATATAACCTTATTTTACCTACAAAAGTAGCTAAAATATCAATAAAAAAGAACATACCAGTAGTTTTTGATGAAGTGAAACAAACTGTCAATACACCAATAGTTATTGCTATAATTGTGAATACAGCAAATGCACCTACAGCAATTGAAGATCGATGTCGTGACCAACACGAAAATTCTCTAATAAAGACATTCTATAGATTATCATGATTGAACATAAAAGCAAATGACATACAATGGTGTTGGAGTCATTGGTGACACCTTCGTTTTATTAGTAACCATGGTACCTTCTGCTGAATTAAATTGATTTTGCGTTGAGTTTTCACGTTGCTCATTGCCAACATGACGATGTTGTGCAGCGAATGAATTCTCAACTAAGATAGCATGATCATCCGTAAAATTTTCATTCATCTATAGTAAAAGAACAGTATTTAATAAAAGATAGTTTTCAGCAAATAGTCGTCATTCACCAGAACACTTCTATAAATTACCTTTCGAGTTATCGATCCTGTCCTTGCTATGCTGCAAAGTTGCAAAGTCTTGATGAATTAGAAAATATCTAAAATAACAGGATTAATTACATCAATAATCCTGACTTAGAATTTTAAATGATCAGATATTTGTTTTTTGTTTTGAAAAAAATTGCTCATTTGTTAGTTATGAATAGTCTTTTAATGAACATCAATATAACTAGGCTGTATCAAATGAGGATACCGTTTCAAAAAGTTCCAATCTTAGCCGAAAGCAAAACATAGATAGGTGTTGGAAACATGAACATAGAACATAGTGTGAGCCAGTACTCAATGAGGTATGCTTTCATAAAAGTCCTTTTTTTTGTGCCAAGTTGATTCAATGGACTGAACTATGTGTTAAAATATGTTTTTGCTTTTAACTAATTAGTTCCGACATTTGTAAATGTTCCATTGGCAACGTTTTTCTTATTGATTTGTCTTGTTTGTCTATAGCTCTGTTTTCGAAATCGTTTTGATCCATGAGAATGTAATTTATTAATTAAATGGTACATTCTTTTGTCTAGTATGACTTAGACGTGTTTGCCAATGAATTTTAATTTTGTAAAAAAATGAATAATTATTTCTAAAAGATATTTTGTCAATTCGATCATTTAAAATAATCTCTTTCTATGATCATTATCGATCGAATAATTAGAAAGTTTTTTCATTTCATTCAATCAACTATACATAACTCTAGTAATTGGATTAAGATAGGTGTGATTATGATGGAATCCAAGCTGCAGATGCGATGACTATCTAAGATCTTATTTTAGTTCGATTTTCAAATCTGAAATAATCAGATACTCTTTCACAGTAAGACGACATACAAATGTCTATAATTTCTAAATAATATCCTATTCAGCGGGAAAATGTTTTGATCTATAGTTTATCAACAATATTAATGATAAAAACTACATTTTAGATGGACGAAACATTTAGAAAAACCAATATATGAAATTAGAGATAATCGATAACATACAAAGTGGGCCATAAATAATAGTATGATAAAAATTGTGATATCTCCGCTCGGGTTCAATCAAATCAACTGATTTTTTGGTTAGTAGTAGAACTTTATTCAAGATTTTTTTCCATACGGATAATGTAAGCGAATATTTCCATTAAGTCTTATTACTGACTTCACTAAAAAAAGATTGATCATTGTCAAATGTGCAAAAATATGTGGAACATTCGATATATAATTTTCAGTTGTCACCTTAGAGAATTACAAGAAGAAATCAAAATGCATGTTACGAATACTATAGCACTAATGAAAATAAAGTAAATTTTTAATACCAGTTAGATCACATGCTGAAACTTGTGTTCGATAGCTAAAACACTCAATCGAAGCCCTTTAGACACTAACTCATCAATTTCCCTGCAAAAGTCAGCATTTCATACTTGAAAATCCGGGATATTGTAACTGTTGGCTTTCAATCTAACTGGTACTGAACATTTGCTTTATTTTCATCAGTGTTATAGCATTCATAGAGTGCATATTGCTTTCTTGATTTTTTTAGTAAAGTCAGTAATAAGACTTAATGAAAATATTTGCTTACATTATCCGTATGAAAAAAATTTCGAATAAAGTTCTACCACTAGTCAAAAAATCAGCAGATTTGATTGAACCCAGGCGGAAATATCTCAACTTTTTATCGTACTGTTATTTATGACCCAACTTGTATACATATATATTACAGAATTTAGCAGACAAAAAATACCTTTCACAAACAAAAGATGCTGAAATTCCATGCATATTAGATTAATTCGACTCTGTTTGTTTCTTAGTCCACTGAAGACATCTTTTAGCAAAGGTTAGCAGTTTTTATACGATATTTTTATGTTTTTCTATATTCACAAAAAATTTTGTTTTTCGCAATCAGAAGAGCGAGTCTAAAACAGAATGATTTCTCAATTCATGTGATATTACTTTTAACATTGGACCAAGCCTAATTGATCAAGGTGAAAACACGGACTAGCACATTTGATCAATATGCATGTCCACCTAATTTATTTACTCATAAAAAATTTACCAATTTTTATATTCTTTTTTATTTTTTTTCGAAACGAGAGTCAAAAGTCTTGTGAGAGAATTTCTTCAACTGATACTATCCATTTAATCTCATATCTATCTAATAAGTTCGATTTACAAAAAAGATCAAAATTCTAAACAGATTTTACTAAATTTTTATTATTGCTAGAAAAAATGCGCACAATTAATTTATGCATATCAGTTTATTTTGTTCTTGTTATATTTCAACAATTAAAGACGAGAATTACTTCTTTTGTATTAGCCTGCTGTTTCTGATGATCGTTTACAGATGGCTCTGATCACTTGTTTTTGTTGAAAAAAGGATATTGAAAAAAATGATAAATCATGATAGTCATAAATCAAAATCCATTTTTCTATGCTCATAGAATGACTCATGTTGAAATCATAGTAGTTATACAGATCGATTAAATCCTCGTATTGGATGACCTAAAAACACTGATGCGATTAGAATATTAAATTTTTCTCTACTGAAACACGTGATTATAAACCTGTCTCTATAATGAAAAGATGCAGTAAAAAACACTACAAGATTACTTTTGTTTGAGTTAACTATCTCATGTATATAGCTTGAGTGCTCAGTTCACTTGCAAAGTCAGTTAAAATCATAGTATAATTAATTTTAGATGTCGAATAGGTTATCTGTAGAAGAACAACTACTCACGGAGACTCATTCTTTCTTTGAAGAAAGTGAATTCCATTTGAATAACGCTCCGAATTGTTCAGAAATTGTTCTTTAACTTTCACTTTTTTCTAAAACGTATTAATTCTCTTATTGGTTTTTTGAATTGTTACTTTCTAATAGTTCTTGATACACTACATTTCAGTCTATCGTTTATCATCCTCCTTTGTAATATTCGATTTCTTTTTTCTTCTTAATGCATCATAACATTATATAGGAAGTTTTTCGAAAGATAGTCATCCGTCAGTAATGTCCGTTGTTAGCCAAGTGGGCTTCATTTTCTTCAAAGAAAGAATAAGTCCACGAAAATGTTTTTCAAGGGAAAATGTGCTTCACATTTAAAATTAATTATATTATGACATAAATGAAATTTTGAAAGTTAACTAAGTGTTCAAGGTGTACTTTGTCGATTATTTTCTGCTTTTACTCTGGAAAGCTCACAAATAATTTCCATTTTTTGTGAAGTACAATTACAAGCTTATAACTTTTTAGCTATATGAACTAGTAAACTTAATAGAAAGTCATTTTATAGAGCATCTTTTATTGCATCTTTTCATTCTAGAGATAATTTTATAGTCACGTGTTTTACTATAGAAATGTTTAATATTCAAATAGAGTCAGGATTTCTGGGTCACACTTTTCTAAGACATATTGAATATATTAGAGATGCTGATTACAACAAATGGAACCAATAAAATTTCATTCATCTCTGTGAATATTTTTCTACATTTTCTACACATGACATTATGTCTCATAAATTGTTTCTTTTATAGAAACGTTATGCTTCAGATGCTGAAAATGTCTCTGTGCTCATGTCTCGAGAATACTCAATTCAATAGAACCTTATCAATGACTTATTACCTTTCTAAACAATTACGGAACTTGATACTATTTTATATCTATCGTTGATTGCGCTCTATAACCACCAGTCACATAGTTGAAAAGGATCCCATAATCTAGAGAGGACTGAACTATGGATTATAGTAGACAGTTTTTATTTGACAAATGTATCTAATTGCTGCATCGCCTAAGAATATCATGGTATCGATATTAGACAACAAGGGTTAGATAAAAGTGTCACGAAAACACGCATTTAAGTCTTCACGTCAGCTGAGAATCACACGGTATTGAGAATGGCTGATGTCGAACTTATTTTGTATGTTTACAAAATTTGAATGGAAATTTCTATTGCTCTTTTTCAGTCAAGAGTTGATTCAGTCTTTGGGAACTCCATGATTGAATCACTAAGGGATGGAATTGTTTTGACTAGGAATGGTGAGATTGCATGAAGTAATGAGTAAATTTTCTCAGGATAATATCAATTGTTCATATTGAGGCCTATCATTGTGATTAACATAGCAATCTATAGTATAGTCTACTTTAAAATGAATATCTTTGAGAATTCTTTTATCAATATATTAATAAATGATGCAGGAAGTAAATATAATCAAAATTTGAATTCTCATGTTTTGAAGCCTACTAACTACATGAAATAGTATCAATTCCTCTAACATTCGTACAAGATTATGAGTAAATGTTAAAATTATTTAGCACATGCTTCCAATGTATCGTGTGTAAATCTTTGCCTACCGGCTATGGATTGGCTCTCGAAAAACTATTGATGTCTGTTTCTCTCGAAGCCCTTTTCTGATAGCATGCTGATTATGCTGTAATATACGCTGGCTCTTGTCGGTAATATGTGGGTATTCAGTGTATTCGACGTCCGCAAGTGATTGGACAGTAGAAGTTCAGGTTAAGCTGACTTTTGGTTCAGAGCTAGACCTAATATTTGTTGTAGAAGCTTCGTTTGACTTATGAAACTATCTGTCTGCATCACCTTATACTGTGAGTTTGTCGAAAGACTGAGCAATTATTCTTTCTTCTTCTACGATATTGTTCAATAGCACACTAGTGGATTCTATCTACGATTTTGGACTATTTTCATAATTGTGGGTGTTTTGATTGAAACATAGTGCTTGTCAAACAATGCAGAGATTAGTTTATATATGTGTACAAGTAGATTGCAACATTTTTGTACCGTTTTAGGAACAAAATGAGTGGAAAACGTTTTTGGTTTGAAAGATAATAAGTAATTAGTACATGTAACTACTTTTGCGAGGTAAGAAAAAGAATAAATTTTCCCGATTACTACTGTTATTATGGCCGAGAT